TTTTTTTTTTTTTTCATTTGAAAAAAAAAAATTGACAGCTTATCTTTTATATATTGCAAAAATTGAGATGAACATGATATTTAAAAGTGTGGAATGTGGATTTAAAAAAAACAAAAACAAAAACCAATATTCACTATTTTTTTACTATGTATTATATGGATAGCATAATCAAATTATCCACTCAAAAAAATTTCAATTGGATGACCATGCACAAGAAGATCAAAACTATTTTATTTTGTTTTACTGATTAGATGTGCTATTGTAAATAAAATAAATATCTGGACTTAGTCAATTTATTATTTCATCTATTCCATTAGGTGTTTCTTATTTCATTAAATGTGAGAATACATGTACAAAAAAATTTATAACTCTGCCATGCACAACTGATATAAATTAACATCATCGATACAATAGAAAATTCATGTAGAAAGTTAATTACACTACATGAAGTTAATTACACTAGATCTATGACTATGTTTGATAGACAAATAAGCTAGCTGATAGCTTATTTGGTTAGCTAAATAATCTCGTTGAAATTTTAATTTCAGTTAGCCAATCACAACTAATTTTAGCCACCAAACACTTGTTAGTACCGACAATTCAAAACCCAGTTCTCCATCAAGCCCAACATACAAGTTCAAATAGGATTCCATTCTAAAACCAATTGGAAATAAAAGGAGCAGCCTACCAAACTTATATATTGAACTTGAAACCTTACTTTTCCGACGTGGGATTGGGTTTGCACGCCCTACAACACTTTTATTATATAAGCCAGTTTTTCAGCTATAAGTCATAAGCTATAAGTTCGAAAATTACTAAATACTGATAAAAGCTATAAACTAGCTTATCAGATAATTTTACTAAACATGTCCTACACCTTTTTAGTTTTTGCATAATAATTTGTTGTGTATTCAGTGAAATAGAAGATTAATTAATACTATGTCACATCAGTATTTAACAAATCCCATCGATAATACTTGGGCACAACTTAGTTCGATTAGTTATATTTTTTCAATAGATATATATATATCATAAAATTGAAATGTCATAGTATAAAATACAATATAAACAAAAATATGACATTTTATAAAATAAATATATTTCGGTATAAATTGTATGAAGGGTCGCACCTAACATTTTTAGGCCGTACGAAGAGTCAACCCGTCTACGGTTAGACCGTTCATATCAAAATTTCTATGTCTAATTATAATGACAATAATTGCACATTTACACATTCATAATTACATATTTACACATTTGCAGTGGAACATTTAATTTGATATAAATAGATCCAACTGTATTAGAAACTTCATTATGCATTAAAGATTTACTTAATGGATAACTAATTCAAATGTTCATATTATATTTTTCCAAACAAATTAGCATAAAATGACATATACTAACATGGAAATAATAAAAATTAAAGTGTATATCCAAATTACAATAAAATTCATTTCGCTTTTCAGATATTGGACAGCCTAAAAGCAATTGTCCTTATCAAACAGTTGTTTATTTCTCTACAGACTTACTCTAGTTACTCATTCATAAGAAACTTACTTCAAAATATATACAATAACATTATATATCTAAACAAATTTATTG